GTTGATAGATATGTATTTACTGCCATTTTGATGTTCATATTTTTTAAATCTTTTTCCTTATCTTCTTCTTCTTCTTAAAGAAAACCCCTTAACTGACATTTTATGTAATACTGGTTTGATGGTGATGAACTCTTTTAGCTTTTTCTTGTCTGGGAAGCTCTTTATATGGCCTTCGATTCTCACTGATAGCTTTGCTGGGTAGAGTAATCTTGGTTATAGGTCCTTGCTTTTTTTTAATTATAAGAATAGTTTATTAACATAGGGGTGCATATATCCTTTCTGATTGGTGTTTCTGGTTTCTTGGGATATATTCCTAGAAGTGGGATCACAGGGTCAAATGGGAGTTCCATTTTCAGTTTTTTGAGGAAACTCCATACTGTCTTCCATAGTGGCTGCACCAGTCTGCATTCCCACCACAGTGCACAAGTGTTCCTTTTTTCTCCACATCCTCTCCAGCACTTGTCGTTTGTTGATTTGTTGATGATAGCCAGTCTGACAGGTGTGAGATGGTACCATAGATAAGATCTGGAAACAGCCTAAGTGCCCATCAGTAGATGAATGGATTAGAAAACTGTGGTACATCTACACGATGGAATACTATGCTGCTGTAAAAAGGAAGGAACTCTTACCATTTGCAACGACATGGATGGAACTGGAGAGCATTATGCTAAGTGAAATAAGCCAGTCAATGAAGGAAAAATACCACATGATCTCACTCATTCATGGATAATAGAGACCATTATAAACTTTTGAACAATAATAGATACAGAGGCAGAGCTGCCTCAGACAGATTGTCAAACTGCAGCGGGAAGGCCAGGGAGGGTTGGGGGGCAGGAGGGAGGGGGGTAAGAGATCAACCAAAGGACTTGTATGCATGCATATAAGCATAACCAATGGACATAAGACACTGGGGGATAGGGGAGGCTAGGGGACTGTCAAGGGCGGGGGGGGGGGGGAAATGGACACATATGTAATATCCTTTGTAATACTTTAAGCAATAAAAAAAAGAAAAAAAGAAAAAAAAAGAATAGTTTATTGACTTTTAATATATATATGAAAGTAATGCAGAGAGAGAGAGAGAGAGAGAGAGAGAGAGACCAATGATGAAAATCATTGGTCAGCCGCCTCCTGCACACTGAACACTGGGGTTTGAGCCAGAAACAATGGCATGTGCCCTGACCAGGAATTGAAGCATGACCTCCTGGTTCATAGGTCAATGCTCAAACATTGAGCCATGCCAGCCAGGCAGGCTTATTAATTTTTAGAGAGAGAAGGGAGCAGGAGAGAAACATAAATACAAGAGTGCAACATTGTATAGGTCCTTGTTTTCAAAAACTTTGAATATTTCTTGCCAAACCTTTCTGGCCTGTAAAGTTTCAGTTGAGAAGTCAGCTGACAGTCTTATGGGAGCTCCCTTGTAGGTAACTAACTACTTTTCTTTTGCTGCTTTTAAGATTCTCTGTGTTTAATCTTTTGCATTTTAATTATGATGTATCTTGGGGTGAGCCTCTTTGGGTTCATCTTGTTTGGGATTCTCTGTGCTCCCTGGATTTGAATGTCTATTTCCTTCACCAGATTAGGGAAGTTTACTGTCACTATTTTTTTTAAATAGGTTTTCAATTTCTTGCTCTCTCTCTTCTCCTTCCGGCACCCCCATGAAGCAAGTATTAGAATGCTTGAAGTTGTCCCAGAGGCTCTTTATACTATCCTCATTTTTGTAAATTCTTTTTCCTTTTTGCTCTTCTGATTGGGTGTTTTTTGCTTTCTAATATTCCAAATTGTTGTTTTGATTCTTGGCATCATCTATTCTACTGTTGATTCCCTGTAAATTATTCTTCATTTCAGTTAGTGTATCCTTCATTTCTGACTGGCTCTTTCTTATGGTTTCCATGTATTATTTTATACCGATAAAGTTTTCACTAAGTTCATCTACTCTTCCCCTAAGTTCACTGAGCATCCTTTCAACTAGTGTTTTGAACTCTGCATCTAGTAGATTATTTGTCTCCATCTTGTTTAGTTCTCTTTCTGGAGTTTTGTTCTGTTCTTTCATTTGGGACATTTCTTTGTCTCCTCATTTTGGCAGCCTCCCTGTGTTTGTTTCTAGGTGTTACATAGAGCTGCTACATCTCCCAGGCTTGGTAGAGTGGCCTAATGTAATAGGTGTCCTATATGGTCCAGTGGCACAGCCTCCCCGTTCACCTAAGCTGTGCACTCCAGGTGTGCTTCCCCCTTGTGGGCTGTGTACTGGTACACCCTCCTGTTGTAGTTGAGCCTTGATTACTGTCGGCACATCAATGGGAGGGATTTACCCCCAGGCCTATCAGCTGCAAGGATTCGCTGCAACCACCATGGAGGACCAGCAGTGCAGTGGCCCAGCCCAAGGAGCAGGAATTACTTGAGGGGTTCTGGTGCCCACAGAGTTCAACACTTGAGTGTGTAACTTGTGGAGGTGGTTGGGTGGTGCTTGGATGTGGTCTGAAGCTGTCCACCAGGTTCACTGGCGCTGGGGCCTCCCAGAAGGTGCAGGCCAAGAGTAGCCACCACCTGTGTTCTACCTGGGGCCATCTGGTATGAGCTACAAAGTGACTGCAGAAGCCTGCCACTTTTCTGGGTTTGGAGGTGCCCAGGTGAGGCCAAGCTGCAAACCAAGGCTGGCTGCCACTTGTGCTGGCCCTGGGGATACTTAGAGGGCAGTACAGGGTATGCCAAGACCAGATGCTGCTTATTTGAGAAATTTTAGGAAAGTCAGAAGCATGAGACAAAACAGGCAATTCACATGGAAAAACCACTGGAAACAGCTTGTGTGGGCCCAAAAGTTGGTGGGGCAGGGTCTCAGGAAATCACCAGGGTAGGACAAACAGTGATAGTCAGGTTGATGGAGACTCTGATTTGACACCTGCCTGCCAGGTCTGTGGGGGAAGGGCTTAGAAAAGGCACAATGGCTTCTGCCAGAACTTGTATCTGGGAGAAAGCTGTCCCTCCAGCTCTCGCCCTAATGCCAGATAATATAGTTACTCCCTGTATGTCCCTGGTGCCTTTCCAGCTGCTTCCCCAGTGCTGGAACTCAAAGGGAGGGCATCCAAGTAAATCCATGTTCAGATCCTTTAAGAGAAACTGCCTGGGACTCCAGCAGCCCTCCTTCTCACTCAGCCAAAATCCCTGCTGCATTTTACAGCCAGAAGTTATATGGATCTCTCTTCCCAGCCCTGGAAATCTGGGCTGGGATGTTCTGGTGTGGGGCTGGGACCCCTCGCTACTCTGGGTACTTCTGAAGCTGAGCTTTATCTGCCACACCTGAGTGTGGGACCAGCCTGTTTGGTCTCCACCCCTCCTACTAGTGTCAATGTGGCTTCTTCTTAAAATCCTTAGTTGTAGGACTGCCATTCAGCTAGATTTCAAATAGTTCTGCATGATGGTTGTTCTGTAGTTTAATTGTATTTTTGATGTCTGGAGATGATTATTATTATTGCATTTTATTGATGAGTAAAATGAGGCTCTGAGAAATTAATTACTCAAACTCACCCTCCTGGCAAATGAGGACTCTAAATACAAACCCACCTCTGAGATGATACTCCCACTACACTAGCCTGTCTAATCTCACAAGAGTCTGGTACTTAATAAATACTCCATTAGCAATGAATTAAGCCAAAGGAAACTGCCTTGGTATTTTTCTGACTGTGGGATCTTCCTAATGGCACCCACTCTAGGGACTATATGAGAGTCAGTAGGGGCCTTAGGGAAGGACCAGCTCCAACTAGGCTGGGTCCAGCACGCAGGTGAGCATCTGCATTCTGCTCCTCCCACTCCTCTGAGCCCAGGAAACCCAGAGCTGGAGCGCTGAGGCAGTGAAGAAAGTGTCTACAGCCTGAGAAGTGGGTGGGAGTGGAAAGGGGACAAGAACAGCATGTGCCTGCGGGAATTTGCTCCCTAAGGTCCCTGCAGTGATTGCGTTTGTGTCTGGCTTCCTATAAACAAAAGCAGAACAATGAGAGGAAGGAATACCAGGAGGCACCAGCACACGCAGTCAGAGAGGAAGCTCGTTCCTTGTGCACGCCCGCAGGGCGGTTCCTGGCCACCGGTGAGCGGCAGCCAGCGCCGGCAGGCACAGCGCCGGCACATGCAGAGCTCTCCAAGGAGAAAAGAAAGTTGGGGAGGACGGGTGTTGTTTTTCCTTTTTCTTTTTCTTTTCTTTTTCCTAGTAGCAAAGCGGGGAGGGCGGGCTCCAAAAGCAAGCATCCCTGACACTTGGGGTAACCTTTCAAAACCCTGCGCCTCCCATACTGAGTCCTTTTGCTGTTCCCACCACGGAAGGTTAAATTAAAATAAAACGGGGGGGGGGCACAGGGGGCGCTTCCTGGGGGCCTGACAAACCCAGATGACGCCATCCGAATTCAGGGAGAAGGCAGGCACGGGAACAGGTAGAGAGCATGAAGGCAGAGCTTAAGCTCTTCTGCACCGGGTGATACAGGCCAGCTCCGAGGGTGGCGCCCGCAGCTTCTCTCAGAACGCCCCGCCAGCCCCTCGCCCCGGCATTGGCACCTCGTCCTCACCCTCCGCCCGCCAGGGTAGTCGTGCGCTGGAGCAGCCTTTTCCTATGCCCGATCCCCAAGGGCGAAGATGCCCTAGACTAGCTCCCTCGCTTGCCTTTTCCCTGCAGGTATGTAACCCAGCACCGTAACCGAAGCTTTCCGCGTACCCATCACCTCCTCCCAGCCTCTCAGCATCCCAGGCGCCCGCTCCTCCCGCCACAGAGGACCCCAAGAGGGAGCTCGACGCTGGGCGTCCCAAATGGGAAAGAGCTCGACGCCTCCAAAGTTTGTAAAAGTTTCCAAAGGGCAGGGATGGGGAACAGGGGGTGCTGACCTGAAGAATGGGGAGGATCACCTGTTGACGGAGGGAGGGAAAGTTAGCCTGGCCCCACCTTCCCGGGGCGCCCCGCTCCCCACTCTGTGGAGCCTCCCCTCCCCGCCCCGCCCCGCCCAGCCCCGTGCTCAGCTCACCTTGAGCCCGCGGATCTCGCCAAGGTGCAGCTGCAGGCGGCGGTTCACCTCGCGGATGAGGTTGCTGTGGTCCAGCATCGCGCTCACCTTCTCGGCCTCGGCGCGCCGCAAGCTGCGGATCAGCTCCTCCTTGCTCCACTGCAGCAGCTCCTCGTCCGACACTTTGGACAGGTCCTCCACGGCCGCAGATGGGCCAGCAGAGGCTGGGGGACAACTTTCCGCCGCCGCCGCCGCTCCGCTTCCGGCCGCCTTCGACATGGTATCCGCGCGGTGGCAGGTGCGAGTGGGTGGAAGAGGCAAAGCGACACCCAAAGGCGCGGGCGCGGTGGGGCCGCCTCCGCCCACACCCTGTGCGCTCTGGCGAGTCAGCGGCACCGCCCGGGGGCCGCTGGGTTGGGGCCACAAGGTTCGCGCTGGGCGGCCATCCTACCTCGCCATCCCTGCGCGCGCGCCCGCGCACCCCCGTGGCCGGGCAGCCTCCCGCGCGCGGCTGCCGAGGCGCGTCCCAACTCCGCGCAAGTCCATGGTGAGGGGCGCCGAGGAGCTGGCGCCGCCGCGGTAGAACCTCCGGGACGGCGGGGGCGCAGAGGAGGGCGCCCCGCCCCTGTTCCCCTGACCTCTCCTCCGCCCTAATTCGAGACTGTCGCCCCCCACACTCTGGCACACACACGCGTGCGCCTGCCTCCCCCTTGCCCAGCTGCAGCCCGCGGCTTCTCTCCTCTCCCGGTCCTGCAAGGGCGCGTCGGACTCCGCGGCACCTCCGGGGCTGCTCTCGGGACGCCGCCGCTGCTGCCCGAAGGCTTGGCACGGCCGGCAGGCTGCGCTCCTCCAGTCGCCTTTGCTGCGCCCGCCGCCGCTCCTGGGCTGCTGGGGGAAGCCGGGATTCGCAGAGTGGAGCCGAGGGGGAATGGGGTGGGGGGAGGCTGGGGGTGGTCTGGGCCGGCGGGAGGAGGAGCCTGGAACCGGGGCCGTCCGCAGCCAGTCGCCCCTCCCGCGCCGGCCGGACGCTGCAGCGGCTCTACAGCATCCCGGGCTCCGGGGGCGCGCCCCCCGCTATCCCGCCAGGGAAGGTCGGGGGCGCGGCTCCTCCTGCGTGGATGAAGGGGAAAGGGGGGGCGGGGGGGAAATGTGTGTTGGGCTTTGGGAGGCTCGCGCGCGCCACCGTGTGGCCAAAGAAGCTCCCTCCGCAGACCAGGCAGAGGGAACAGCTGCCGACCAAAAGGAGAGAAGCTTGGTATTTGGAGGCATTGGGATTCAGAGAAGATGGGTAGCAGGGCCTGAGGGGTAACCGTCTGTTTGTACTTTGGAGAATAAAGAAGAGATCGGTGGGGGGAGAAGGGGGCGGGGTGTTTTGGGGAAGGAACGTTTTTAAAAATCCTCGTGCTCTGAGAAGGGGAAAGAGGCCTCAGGGCGCTGCTCTTCAGACACCACCCACCCCCAGGCCTTTGTCTTTTCTAAAAACCCGCTACTTTGCTAAGAAGCTTCAGGGGAAGGAACTGGATCTTTTACATTTTTATGTGAAAAACATCAAAGCCTTAAAGGGGAAAATAAAATACCTTCATCTCCTACTTCCCGAGGCCTGGATTTTAAGGTCAGGCCACCTCCCCTCTGAGAAAAGCATGGTCCCTTAGGCAAGCTGAAATGCCAGCCAAAAAGATTTCCATTTTCCTTCCTTACCCGTTCAGCTTATTATGATGGTAATTTCTACTAGGGGTGCCCTTGTCCCTGGGTTCTATCTTTGGGCTACAAGAGCCCCTTCCCTCGTCCCCCTTCAACCCGCTTGTGAAGTTGTATGGAATCATCTCTGAGCTGAAAACGTCTCTTGGATTTGGTCGTGGGCATGTCACTTAGGTGAGTGCTCTGCTGTCCAGGATGGAGACAGAGCCAGAAAACTGCAAGGACTCACCCCACGGAGCTTCATGGAACCAGGGTGCAGAGAGAATCATCGCCACCAGGATGCGCATTTAAATTCGAGTCCCTCCACCAGCTAGTCTGTATGTCCCCTGACAAAGCAGCCACCTGTTAAGAGATGAACAGTCGGGAACTTCTGAGACCTGGTTCCTGGAGAGCAAGGAAAACTCCTCTGACCCAGACAGCCTTCAAGTTCCCCTCAGCCTGACCAAACTTTAGACAGGTTTCTTCCTGGCTCTAGGTCCCTGCTCACCCTTTCCTTACAGCACTTACTCTGGAAAACTCCCTCTGCCCTTGAGATGTAGATCTCCCAGCTTCTCACCAGTTTTACCACCCAGGAATGTTTCTCAAAGGACAGGGAAACTGTCCAGGAAGATAGGGCCGCTATATCCCCGTCCGTCTGGGAGGGGAGAAGCCTAACTTCTAGGAATGCTGTTTAGCAACACAGATGGCCTGAACACATTGACCAACTCCTTCTGCTCCCAACGCCCTCCAGTTCTTTCCCTATAGCTCATCTCAGGGCTTAAGAACCGCTTGCTTTTTTATGTCAGTAGAGTTAAATTCTTTCTCCTCCCCCCCCTCCCCCCTCCCCCCCCCGTGTGTGTGTGTGTGTGTGTGTGTGTGTGTGTGTGTGTGTCCCATTGCAATTGTCTTGAATAAAGTCTTCCTTTCCTGTTTAACTATGTCCAGTGCCATATTTCTTCGACACCTCCCTTTCTCTCATATACACAAGAGGCTCTCAACACAGTTCCTAAGATCACTTTGGGCGCAGGGAGGGAAAACATAAGTCGGAAAAATCTGAGCTCCCATCCCTGTCACTTGTTAGTTCTCCTCTTTGAACAGATCATCTAACTTCAGGCGGCTAATGAGATAAAGTACATGAAGTGCTTATCAAGTCACGTAGAAATGCAACTTTATCATTACTGATATACATTTGGGTAGCTCCTTATCTGGAAATAGCAATATCTTCATCTGTGTTTTTGTTGTTTTTCTCCATCACAGGTTTGTTCTTCAAGAGCCCTATTCTAAAACAAAACAGTCAGCCCCCCTTTGCTGCTAACTCTCTTAGACGACTTAACACCTACGTAGACATTATAAGGTAAATAGGTGGCTGAGAGGAGCATTTGGACTTGTGTTGGGAGGACAAGGAAGAAAGAAACTGAAGGAAAATATTTCTCCACAAATTTACATAACTAGCAGCTGCTTACTGTTGGACTAGATCGCCTTAATGAGGTTTTAATGTTTTGAAGGGGAACAAGTTTTGCCTTTTGGGATATTGCTTTTAAGCTGTTTATTAAGAAACAAAAGACTCATTATAAAAAAAAAAAAAAATCACTCAAAGGACCTTTGACTACCACCCTCCTTTCCTGCCCAAGAGAGTCTGTTAGAAAAACTAGGATGTTCCCTTAGCCTAATTTGAATTATAAGAGGGCTTTAGGCAGGGGCCTGTGACCTAGATATCCCAAGGTCGCATTGTTTCTGAGTTGCCTAGCAAGAATTTGGCTGCCATGTATGTTCCACTTTTTAAAATATATATTTTATTGATTTTAGACGGGAAAGGAGAGAGAGAGAGAGAGACAGAGAGAGAGAGAGAGAGAGAGAGAGAGAGAGAGAGAGAGAAACATCAATGTTGAAAATCACTGGCTTCCATGTATGTTCCACTTTTTAAATATATATTTTATTGATTTTAGAGAGGAAGGGAGATAGAGGGAGAGACAGAACCATCAATGTTGAAAATCATTGATTGGCTGCCTCCTGCACGCCCCCTACTGGGGATCAAGCCTGAAACCCTGCCATGTGTCCTTGCCTGGAATCTAACCTGGGGCCCTTTAGTCCGCAGGCAACGTTCTATCCGCTGAGCCAAACCAGCCACTTTTCCTCATCTACCTGTAAATTGCTCATTCTCACTTCTGAAATTTAGGACCCCGATTCCCTGCCTCTTTTCTCCTTTGTCCAAAATGCCATATATATTAAATGTTGCCTCACTGCCTTTGGAATTTTCATGCATATGTGAATTTGCCATGAGCATATATTAAGAATTGATGTTTCCCCTGTTAATCTGTCTGTTAACTTGACTATTAGCCCAACTAAAAGAACTTAGAAGGTGGGAGGAAAATGTTAATTTACTTTAGTCCCCACAGTTTCTAGATTTGGTCATTGATCAGGATAATTATTAAATGAATAATGTGTCTTCACGTTGGTAAGGTCATGTGTGGTGATAGGAACTTTACTTGGCTATTAAAAACAGACAAAAAACAGCCCAGCTGGTGTGGCTCAATGGTTGAGTGTCGACCTATGAACCAGGAGGTCATAGTTCGATTCCCGGTCAGAGTAAATGCCCTAGTTGCAGGCTCAACCCCTAGTAGGGGGTGTATAGGAGGCAGCCAATTATCATTGATATCATTGATGTTTCTCTCTCCCTCTCTGAAATAAATAAAAATATATATATTTTAAAAACAGACAAAAATAGTCACTTAAAAGAGGGCATTTACTTTCTCTCACATAACCAATCTAAAGCGGGCCGTGGAGGGATGGTATGGTATCTTTATGATGTCATCAAAGACAGGCTCCTTTTCTGCGCTCAGCCATCTTTAGCATAGTTGCCTCCCAGCCACGGAATACCTACTGGAGCTCCAGACATCCATCTACACTTGAGGCAGAGAAAAGATAGGAGCAAATGATAAAAAAGCACATGTCCCGATGAAAAGTTTTTCTGGTAATACAACCTAGTGAATCTCATTTATATCCAGGGTTTGCCATTTATATCCAGGGTTTCCCTTCCAGCTGCAAGGGAAGCTAGGTGAAAAATGTTTAATTAAGCACATTAATGACAAGTAAAATAAGAGCTGTTTTGATAAACATAAGAAAACAGATATTGGAGAGGCAACTGCACACCTTAGCAATGGACTCTGTACGGTAAATGGAGGTATCTAGAAACCAGCCATCCATGAGTAAGTCATTGAGTCCTGGTGGTTTTATCTCACATGTTATTCTGAAATAACGGTTCCATTGCAGCTCACTATTGCCCAGCCCACATTCTCCCAAGGTCTCACCTGAACCTCACAACTCTAGCATCTCATCTCTCAAATCTGCTTTCCACACAACTACGCAAGTGAACTATATAAAAAGTCAAGTCCAGCCGCTTCGCTCCTAAGGACCATTGCTCATAATTCTTCACGGACTTCCCTGTATAATTCATACCACTCTGGCATGTGACTTTGTAGAAGCTCCCACTAAGGGGCCAAGTGAACTCCCTTCCCTAATGACAGACACTGTGCTTGGCCTTGGGACTTGCTTTGCTAATGGAACGTGGATGTGTTCTTTCTCTGATGAGGCCTCCAGAGACATCTGTCTACTCACCCCCCTGTACACT